CCTCCTGCTTGAGCTCTGCATACCACCTACCCAGCCACCCTTGGGCTGGCAGGACCCCATAATTTGCTCTGATTACTGCTGATTAACAAGATACTAAAAAACCTTGCAAAAAAGAAAGAAAGAAAGCAGAAAGAAAGAAAGAAAGAAAGAAAGAAAGAAAGAAAGAAAGCAAACCTCCAGGGAGATAGTTCAGCAGGCAAAGGTACCTGCTCCCAAGCCTCATGACCTGAGTTCAAATCCTGGGACTACAGATAAATACAAGAGTACATAAAACAAGTAATTTGAACCTGCAACACATCTTAAAGTTAAAATAAAATAGAGATTGGTGAATATTCTGACCTCAGCCTGACCTCATATACTTCTGCACAGGAGAGTGAACCCCACCCATCTACCACCCCCCCCACACACCATACACACACACATTCACTCACACACACACACACACACACACACACACACACACACACCCCCCAAATCTTTAAAAAGCCCACAATCCATCTCAGCTGATGACCACTCCCACCCCCATTTTCCAGCCTCACTCACCCACGTCACTCATGTTCCCTGTGGCTGCTGGTGTCACCAGGATGGGAGACATGCCTGAAGGGAGTGGCTGGTCAGTCACACGCCTGAAGAAACACTGAATGTGAACTTTGAGAGAGGTTGACCAGGTTATCTCTCTGCCTGATCCCAGGTCACTACAATACAGTGAGCACTGACAGGGCGATTGTAATAGGAGGAAAACACCAGAAGAGAGCAATCCTATCAGCTCACTAATGGTCAAGATAACAAAAGGGCCATGTAGTTCTCTCTTGTAATAAACGGAGCTGCACAGAAAGTGAAGGAAGAAAACACAATTTTCCTCACACTGAGACTAGAGAAAACAATACATTTTCTTTTTTTACTGTTGCTAACACTCAGTCACTAGGGAATATAGGCCCCACCCCCACCTCTTGCTTTCTTGACACAGGGTGTAATTAATATCCATTCATCCCCGGACTGCACTTGTACTCATGATGCAGCCAAGGATATCCTTGAACCTTGAGTTTTCTGCCTCCATTGCAAGGTTCCCGTCAACCACGCTAGGAATGCAAGATCAGTTTGGGCTGCAGGAATCTCTAAATCTTGATGACAGGGAGGTGGCTCAGAAGGCGAAGGATCTTGCTGCCGAACCTAACAAACTGGGTTTGATACTTGGACCCCATGGTGAAAGGAGAGAACTGGCTTCCTCAACTTGTCTTCTGACTCCCACAGATTGAGACACATGCAATATTCTGCATTTCTTACCTAGCCAGCAGGTCTTCATCACGTGGTGTGGTCACCTTCAGGTAACTTCCACTCGAGTGACCAACTAAAGCATTGCAGGGCAAAGTAGAGGGTTGAGCACAGAACCAGACCTCCCCAGAGACCACATCGCTGTAACGGCAGGTGGGCCCTTTGGCTCCAGTTGACTGGGGGTCCACGTTGCAGATAACAGTCTCTTCAGTGCCGTCCCTTCCTCGGAAATACCCTCTAAAGTCAACGGTGGCCCGTTTTTCTCTCCAGATCCTCTGCAGGACCCCAACTGCCTCACTGGAGTGGATCAGCCTCACTTGCACCTGGGCCTTTCCAGCCCAGAGCAGGGGGAAGGACAAGAGGTAGGTGCCATTCTCCAGATCCTTCACCTCCCCTGGGACTCCCGCTTTCAATTCTGGGCCCAGGAGCTTTGCCCGAAACAGATCTCCACCATGAATCTTGGGCCTACCCTGGTGATCCCTAGCCACGAGAATGGCCTCTAGGTTACTTCCCAGAGTGTAGGTGGCCTGAGTAGGACCCTTCAAGTGGTAGGTGGAGGTTTTGGGGCTGGTAGAAGCCAGAAAGTCATCCCTGTTTCCACCAGTTGGAGGCCAGTAAAGAAGGCTGGTCAGGTTGATTAGTTCTTGAGGGAGACGGTCCTGGTTGATGGTCTCAGAGACATATTTAGAGGCAGGATGGGGTGGTGAGAGCCAATGGTTCATGGGCTTCAGCCAAGACATGATAAGACAGATCACCTGGGAATAAAGAAAGAGAAGTATGTCATGTGTGACTGACCAGCCACTCCCTTCAGAAGTTGTGTGTGTCATATTTCCTTCCTGGAAGGAGGTATTCTCTTTGACCAAGTAGCACCTAGGGGTCCTACCTGCATATGTCGTTCTGTTTGTCATCCATAAGTCTGGCATTTGAATCACGATGACCCTAATTTGAAAGAAACAACTCAGGACTGGGGTGATACTGTTATAGAACTTCTGGGAAGTCCCACTGGAGTTGCTAACTGTTACAACAAAATTGGGGTACTTGCTGTAGTTCTTTTTTTAGAGATGTGTGTGTAGGAGTGTTTTGCTTGCTTGTATATATTGTTCCATGTCCATGCCTGGTACCCAGTGACAGTTGAAGAGAACTTTGGATCACCTGCAAATAGAGCTACAAATGGTTGCAAGCTGTCATGTTGGGGTGGGAACCAGAGCCAGTGATCTGTAAGAGTATCAGTGCTCTTAACCAATGAGCCATTTCTCTAGCTTCAAGTGCCTAGGTTTTTTTCTTTTTAAAGTGTGTGTGTGTGTGTGTGTGTGTGTGTGTGTGTGTGTGTGTGCATATGGACCCACTTATGTACTTGCACACTATGGCCTGCATATGAAGGTCAGAGAACAATTTGTAGGGTCCTATCTCTCCTTTCACCATTCCCAGGGTATCAAAATCAGGTCATCAGATTTGACAACTAGCCCCTTACCTGCTGATCCATCTTGCTCTTGCCAGTGCTGACAATATCTGATGTGCTGGAGACCAATAGCATTGATGCTCACAGACTTTATGGACCCAAGAACTGAGAATCTCATTGTGTACATTGGTAGATAGATCACAGGTTTGAAGGTAGGTAGGACAAAGAAGATGGGGCTGAGGTGGGTCAATAAATGGATTGTGTGAAAGTTTACCCAAACAGCATGTTCATGGAGATAGAAAGTACATACTATAAGTGTATAGATGCCAATAAAATTCACCTGTACATTCAATACTATGAGGATCAAAATCCTAATTCCTTGTATGTGTGTTTGTAAATCATAGGGTGATTATGATGTTTCTAAGCATGGTGTAGGACCAGGTAGAGCATGTGTGTCGTCCCAGTGCTTGGGAGGCCTGGGCAGAAAGATCAGTGGTTTTAGGCCATTCTTGGCTAATGGGCAGCCTTTGTGCAGGAATGGAGGAAGGCCTAGTTGAGTGAAGTCCTGAGTGAATGTGGGCTGTTCACATGGGCACAGCCATGTCAAAGACTCCAGTGTCTCAGGGCCATGGGAATCTGGCAAAGCCTTCCCTCTTGGTCTGCTTCTGAATGTAGATAGTGTGTGTCCACCATAGCTACCTCCCCTAAGATGTTTACTGCCTGAAGACTGCTCCCCCTCAGAGACAGCTGCGACCAAGATTAGCTAACCCTGCTTCCTTGTTGACCTGTATGCCAGAAGCCCACCACGTTGTTCAGCTGAGAGCAACAACCCAGGCTCCCTCTTTAACTGTATATAATAAGTTTGGTAAGTTCTCTGCCTGCTGCAGCTTCCCCATCAGAGAGCCCAATTCACTTGCCAGGAGCCATGGCACAGGTAACCTTAGACCTGTAAAGAGACTTGGGCTGCTTCAGAGAACCTCTTAAAGATTGCCAGCATGAGTAACTCATTATGTTGCGAGAATAGCTAAGTACAGTGCCAATCTACCTCTTCCCTTCCCCAAATGAGTAGAGCCTGGGCAAACAGGAATAGTTGATAGCAAACATTCCAGTCAGGCTTCTTTCACCTGTACATTCAATACTTTCTCCTGCGACCTCTTCATCTTACTAACAACCTGCTGTGTTTGCACTCCTCTGATTGTCCCCCTCCCCCGTTATCCTGCCTTATTTGCACCTGCACCCCCCCTGCTTGCCCTTCCTGACATCCTGTCTATCTTCAAGGACTCATGTACCAGATCAAAGGCTTCTCCCTGAGAGCCAGGCAAATAACCTCTCCCTGCCCCACCAAGCCTTTCCCACTTCACCTGCCATAGAAGGTCTCTGAGAAAAATCAAATTTTGCAGCTTGATCAGAAAGCCTGTCTTGCTGTCTGTTTCTTGTGTCTCTTTGACCCAATCATTCCAGGTACTCTGGTGCTGCAGCACAATGGGGTGTGAGCTTGAGTGGTGCCCCGCTGGTCAGGGCATCCACTGGATCCAAAATTTCCTGTATGTCCATGAGTTTATTTTTTATTCATTCCCTCCCAACCTAGTCATGCTAGTCCTTGAGACTGTGCATGGATAGATATGAAAAGCCTGGGGCAAATGAAGACCCTGTTACAAACACAAACAGACATGAAATGGGGTGATCAAGGTGGCTGAGAGGGTCAAAGTGCTTGCTGTGTAAGTCTGATGATCTGAGTTCCACAATTCATGGTGGAAGGAGAGCATTCCCTCCCAACTCCTTCCTGTGTACTCTTAAGCCAATCAGCCTTTTATTAACAACGAGAGCAATACATATTTACACTGTACAAAATTGTTCCACAACACCATCTTCCCCCACATCACCCTCCACGCCATGCTCACACACACACCATCTCTATACACACACCATCCCCACCACACACCAGCCACACAAAACCAATCCCCACCACACAGCCTTCCCCAACACCATCCCACACACACCATCCACACACACACACACACACACACACACACACACACACACACACACCCCCACACACCCACACACACACAGGCCCCCCCGCCATAATCATCCCCTACCACACCATTCTCACACACATACCAGGCTCCCCGCACCATCCCAGACACATGCACCATCCTCCACACACACACACCATCCCCACATACACACCACCTCCCCACACCATCCCATACATACACCATCTCCCAACCCCACACCACACCCCTACATACCCCATCCCCAACACACACCATCCCCCCCACAGTCCCCCACACATACACAAAACAACAGTAAATTTAAAAAAAAAATATTAAGCAGGAAGCCGAGGGCTCACTTCCTCATTTGTAAGCATGAAGCAGAGAAAGAAAACTGGAAGTAGGGTGAGGCATAAGCCGTCAAAGCCCAGTGTCAATGACACATGCCCTTCAGCAAGGCCACACCTTCCAAACCTTCCTAAATACCAGCACCAAATGAGGACCAAGTTCAAGTACTGGAGCCTGTAGGGGACATTTCTCACTTAAACTACTACATATGAGTTGATAATTTTTTTGGCAGTTCTCCAACTTTATTTGGTTAGTTCTCAGCCACATTGACTGTAGATTTTTGAATGTGGTAACAGGCATGTAGGTTACCAATGTGTACAGCTTGTTTGGTGAGTCCTCATCCTCGTTACGATTTCTGGACAAACCTACACAGATACAGTATGGAACATTCCGTATTCCTTTGGCCCAGAGGGCTTTATTGAGCCTGGTATCAATGCGCACATCTGGAGTCCCCATCTCCTTCATGGCAAATTTCCGGATTTCTTTGAGTGCCCGAGGAGCTCGCTTCTTGAAGCCCAAGCCACGGATGTGCTTGTGAATGTTGATGGTGTCTTCTTGGGTCACCACCTCATTGATGGCAGAATGGCCCTTCTTCTTCTCAACACCCTTCTTTGCAGGAGCCATTCTGCCCGGCCCAACTTGGAAAGGAAGGGCATGAGGGATTGTGGGAAGGAAAGTCGCGACGCAAGTGTGAGTTGATTATATATATATATATAGTCATGGGGCTAGAGAGATGGCTTGGTGCCCAAGAATATATACTGATCTTGAAGAAGACCAGGGGTCAGTTTCCAGTACTCACATTAGGCATTCCACAATTCCCTATAACTCCAGAGGATCTGACACCCTCTCCTGAACTCTGTGGGCACCTACACTCACATGTACACACACACACACACACACCAAGTAAATCCTTTTTTTTTTTTTTTTTGTTTTTCAAGACAGGGTTTCTCTGTGGCTTTGGAGGCTGTCCTGGAACTAGCTCTTGTAGACCAGGCTAGTCTCGAACTCAAAGAAACCCCCCTGCCTCTGCCTCCCGAGTGCTGGGATTAAAGGCATGCGCCACCAATGCCCGGCCCAAGTAAATCTTTTTAAAAGATCCACAGTCATTAAAATGATGAGGTGTTGGTGTAAGACTAAATAAGTAGGTCAACAGAACAGAGTGCCTAGAATAGACCCACACTTTATGGACATGTGATGCAAAGGTAACACTTCAAAACAATCAGGAAGAGGTTATGTCCCAAATATATAGTGGTAAAACAATTGTATGTAATTAATAAGAACACGTTGAGCCAGTGGTAGTACATGCTTGTAATCCTGGAGGAGGAGGCAAGAGGATCTTGAGTTCAAGGGTAGCTTGGGCCTCACAAGAAAACCATTCACATCTGAAAGCACAAACAAACAAACAATAAAAACCCAAGGACTTGGGGCTGGAGAGCTGGATCAATAGTTAAGATCAGGTACTGCTATTGCAAAGGGCCCAGGTTCAGTTCCCAGCACTCTTGTCAGATGCCTTAGAACCTCCTGTACTCCAGCTCCAGAACATCCTGTTTTTCTCTTGCAGCTGAGCACTCTGGCAAATGTTTTCAGGAAGCCCCATAGGCTTGCGACTGAGTTTCACCCTGGGGGTTTTCCATTGTGCTGCAAGACAGTATTTAAGGCTCCCCATTCCCCAAAATAAACAGCATTCTGCTTGCACGAATGACCTTCTTTAAATCTCCAAGCCTTTGCCTGATAATTAATAGTCAAGTAGTGCAGGCACTACACATCTAACGCCCTCTTCTGACTCTGTGAGCTCTTGCACTCACATGCACACACCCTCTAATGCCTTCTTCTGACTCTGTGAGCTCCTGCACTCACATGCATACACCCTCACAGAGATACATGTTGATAAATAACTTTTTTTGATAATGATAATGTAGGCAATTTAACCCAATCAAAAATGAGCAGAGATGACTCTGCTGAGATCACTGGGCCATTCCGGACCCCACAGAGTGCAGAAAGTGCAGAGGTGAGCTGATTTGGCCCCTAACTTGGGCCCAACTTCTGCCTGCCCACACAGGCAAATCTTACCCCAGGATCTGCAGGCAGACTGAATCAGTCCCTGAGGACCCTGCTGAGATCACTGGGCTATTCCAGCCCCCACAGAGTGAAGAGAGTGCAGAGGTAAGCTGCTTCAGCCCCTGCTTGGGCCCAACTTCTGCCTGCCCACCCTGGCAAATCCCACCCCAGGATCTGCAGGCAAACTGAATCAGTCCCTGAGGGCCCTGGGACCCTGAATCTGCTGAGTTCGCTGGGCTATTCCGGCCCCCACAGAGTGCAGAGAGTGCAGAGGGGAGCTGCTTCAGTCCCTGCCTTGGGCCCAACTTCTGCCTGCCGGCCCTGGCAAACCCTGCCAGGGATCTTGGACAGGACTACTCGACCCCTGAGGACCAAGCAACCCAGAGTTTGCTGACATCTCTGCGCCAGTACTGCTCTCAGCCACCTGGAGAGTGAGTGCCTCAGACCTGCCCGCACCCAACTTGAAACCCATCAGAGTATCAAAGACAATTGCACACCCCTGAAGAGAACACTGGACCCATACACACCGGGAAAGGAAGTGACACCAACGGTACCCACTGGAACAAGAGATGGGAAGATGACAATATAAGAACACATCCAACAACAGGAAAACCAATATGACACCACCAGAGCCTAGGGACTCTACACCAGCAAGACATGAACATCCCAACACAGAAGAAGCAGAAGAGAGCAACCTTCAAAACAACTTCATGCAGATGATAGAGAACCTAAGAGAGTAAATCAGAAAATTCTTCAGAGGAATAGAAGAAAAGACAAACCAAAAGATACAAGAAACCAAGGAAAGAAAAAAAAAAA